TGATTTTCATTGAGTATAGAATAAGATACTTCAAGTCATAGTGGAATGTTTCAAGTTGCTTAAATTTCAATTATCTATACATAGTTCAATAAGAGTGAAAATATTTTTTTAATTATACCATGTATGGAAATTATAAATATAAACATTTGGTAATAAATTTAAGTATGTATGGTTATTTTTTTTTGAATTACAAGAAAAAAAGAAAATTGAATTTTGTCAAAAACTGGTTTAGATACCAGTTTTTTCTATAGATGTTTTGTTTGTTTTTCCCAATTATTATTATTATTATTACGAAAAGTACATGGAACTTTTTACTTTTTAGCCCTCCCCCTCCCAAGTACCAACTAGATCCAGTTCGGTACAAGAAACTACCGATGAAGTTGAACATTTTTCTACTATTTACAATTTCTACAGGTATGAAAAATAAGAATTGAAAATAATAACTATATGGTAACAATAATTTATTTCAGATATTGAGTAGTTTTTCATATACTTTGGGATTTTATCAGTAAATATTGGAAATTTAAATGTTTGTAAAATGATTATATTTTACATTAGGGAAGAAAATGACAGGTAAGAAAAAACCAAATTAAGAAATAGTTTAACTTAAAATATAAAAACTATAATACATTTTTATACTTTTATTTAATCTCTAATTGATAATCAATTTAAGCTATAAATAAAAATGTAGACATAAACACTATCATACAGTACTACATGCTCAACTTTAATCCTAGGCTCACTAAATTTTTTTTTTACATTTCTAACAAAACAGTAAACTTCGCTCAAATCTAAATCTAAAATTAATTAATTATTTTAATAAATAACAAAATGTGTTCCAAAATTATATTCATATGATTATATTTATGCAGATGTCCAAACTTACAGTAGAGGAGGATTTTAAATTAAACTTTTTTTGAGTTTATAGTGAGGGGATCCAACCTTTACATCCACCCATAGCTTCTATTACTAGTCGCACTGTCAAATTTATAAATTGTACTGCGAAATTGTACAAATCATAAATATTTAAGCAAATAATTATTGAAAAGAAAATATGTTGTTGATAATTTATTTCATCTTTTAATAAAATATACATAAACAATAATATTAATTTATTCAGATAATCAAGATTAGGAAAATACCACTTAACTAGGTCTGGTTAATAAATTAAATAATATGAAATAAAAATTGGAAAATCATGATGAAATAGTCATGCACATGCTTAAGATTTTTCACCATGCACTTCAATAATATTAATTTGTCTCAGACATTTTATTCATATCTACAACTACATAAGGATTGCATTTTCCTGTTTTAAAATTACTATTGTCGAGTTCATTCTGACTTTGTTGTCGCGTCTGCTCACCTGTAATTATGTCGATAGGCTGCTGTGGTACTTGTAAATAGGTAGCTGCTGCTATGGTACCTTGTTCTTCAGATTCTTCTAAAACATCTTCACATGCTTCTTCATTAAGAGTTTGTAATGCACCACAAATCATTTGTTCTTCTAATGTTACCTTTATTTAAGATATTTTTATAAAATAAGTGTACATGATAAATAAAAACTTTATAGTTCTTTAGTCAATTTTAAATTAGAATTATTTCTTACTTGTTTTTCAACTGATGATACTTTTGACCCTTTCTGATCTTTATCATTCAAAGTTCCTTGCACATTATTACTATTATTAGAAGATCCTAATATTCAAACATTTAATTAATGAACATATAATAAAATTAAGTTATTTAAAAAAAAGTAGAGTGAGTTATAATTGTATACATTTTTACTAAACTAAATATTTCTATACCTCTTCTTTCATGCGAATGGGTTTTAGAGCTACCCGATCTAGTGTGTTTAAAATTAATATTACTGTTGGTTTCATTATTTATTAAGTACTCTTTGTCTCGCAATGCTAATAAAACTATGCGGAAAAGTTCCCAATCTCCAAAGTTCATTTTTAATACCTGCAAATCAAATACTTAATACATTTTTACAAGATTAAATTAAAATTATGTAGACTTACATTTTTTAGTTCGTTTAAATTGCAATGTAAGAGTACACAACCAGTAAGATTATTATCTTTGATTATTTGTGTGTATTTTGGAATGTTTGACTCTTGCAAATCTTTAATTCTTGTCAACAACTTACAAATGTCTTCTACACTTGAGGATGACAGTTTAATGTTATTAAACTCATCCTAAAACATTTAAATCATTTAAATAGGATGAAATAATTTTTATAAGTTATAATTACAGATAATGATGAAATGGAAAAATTTTGAAGCGAGTTTGGTAATTCATCATAAGGTGTATGCCATCGATTTTGAACTTGTTGATTCCACAGTGCAGCAGATTGTGGTTCATTTAACATCAATGTCGTTGGTAAAGTTTCTTGTTGAAGTGATAGTTTAGCTCCCATTTTCTTAAATTAAATTATTTTATATTATTTTTTTCATCATAGGTTACTTGTTAGTTAAAATTCATATATATTTATTTTAAAGAATTGAACCAACCTGTCTTCTCATAAGTTGATTTTGCACTCTTCGTGTTTGTAATTCATTGTGTGTTATTGTCGGCCTAAAAATAGTGGAATCTTCAGAGTTTTGCATTTCATCTTTTATAACTTTTCTCAAATATGGATCCAGATTGATTGTAAATGGTAAGAAAATTCTTAGATCGCTAACCAGCAATGTTGTTCGATGAAAAGAAAGAAATATTTCAAATTTTTTCTCGTCTTTGTCCATTTCCATTAATGGATCAATGTCTTTAGAAAATTGTATTTGACGACGTACCCTGTTAATTTTTATTTTAGTTAAAATAATAGTTATTTTAACAAACATATAACAGTTAATGTTACTTTTCATATAAAGTTTTTAGTGACACGGAATCATCAATAGTATCCTCATTAGTATCATGAAAAATAATCATCCAAGATATTCTATAAGGCCATTGCTCTGTAATATTTATCCAACTAGCTAAATGATACCAATTAAATTCCAATTGAAATGCTTTCAATAAACGACCTAAACCATGATATAAATTATTTAAGTTATTTAATTAAAAATAAATTGTTCGTTTCTACATACCAGTAATATAAACAATATTCATTAAACGTCTCATACTTCTAGGATTTACATCACTAAAATAGTCATCAGTCAGCAAAATTTTAGAAAGATCTTGAGGACCACCTAATCTATGTATGTTGCTAGCTATGCTACTTGCAATACTTTCACTTGATTTTAATTTACTCCTGGTAGAATTGATGTTGCCTTTGCTTCGACTAAGTCCTCCAGAAGAACCCATTGTGGGTTTTAATGTTGTGGACTCATTAGATAATCGTCGTGTTGAAGCCTACAATTAAAAATATAATTAATAAAACAAACTTAAAAATTTAACTAACAAATTTAAAATTTGTTTACCGAATGTACCAATCCACATTCATCCATTTGATTTGTAACACTTTTACGATGAGATTGAGATGATTTTTGAGCTAATTTTACCTTGCGTAAACCAGAATTTTGAAGAAAAAATGGCAAATGAACCATATTTTTAAGATAGTCATGTCCAGAAAAATTCATGTCATTTAACAACCGTCGACTATTGAGTTCAATTACCTACGATAAACAAAATATACCATCTTAAATTATTAAATGTTCTTTATTATTCATATATAATAGATATTAATCAATTATGTTCAAACCTGAGAAATGGCATGGGGGTCAATAGCTAAGACAACTATAAAAGGAGTATTTTGTTCTGAAAATAACATCCGTACAGCATCTAAAAGTAGTAATATTTTGTCCTGTTCACAGGAGTCTAAACCATCAATAATTATTACCAATCTAGTCTGCTGTTGAGTAAATGCATCCAAACAACGCACCTTTAATTAAATAAACAAAATTAATCACTATTTATTGAATAACTATCTCATAAATAAACAAACAAATATTAAATACAATACCATTTCTGTCATTAAATTCACTTCAGTCCTTAACGCTTGAATAAATCCTTCAGACTTTAATGTATCTAATCTTGATGTAGCTCTCCTCAATTGTTTACGTTGTGAGAACACTAATGATTGTAGTAATTGACCAAACGTATATAAATTTCCTATCAATATTAATAAAATGAACATCCCACAACAAAATAGTATAACATTTCCAATAGCTTTGTCAATTGAAAAATCACTAGAAAATCAAAAAATATATAAAATTTAAAAAAAATAAAGTTATTTCATGTTAAAACCATAACATACTTTATAAAAGTTAGTGTACCACTGTTCATAGCAATAATAAGTGTTACTAATAAAACACACAGAAATGACATTTCAAATAGTATTATGTTTGGCATGCAACACAATTTGCGCCATTTCCAAGGTGAAGTAAGTTTTACTAAAATGTATAAGCATTATTAATAATTATTATTTATAAGACATGAAAAAAAAATAATTAATTAACTAACCAGGTTTTGGACGAAAAGCTCTATATAAGCGTGTAGAAATTGATCCAAAATCTTTTTCTATTGAATCATATAATGAACCTATCATTTGAATAATCGTACTTTCCCCAGGTGTTGTACTACTAACCCGAGTTTGGTCAGTAAAATAAAATCTAAATTAATTTAAAATAAAAATATAATTAAATTGAATTGAATTTAAACTATAAAAAATTTAAATTTAAATTAGAAATACCTAATAGGTTGTGCTGTAACTGATGTCCCCCAACTTGAACCAGGTGGATGACAAAATATTATTTGTAGAATTATTCGAGCTGTAACTGCTTTTTGGCTTAAATAGCTGATACAATTATAAGCCCAATCAAGTCTATACAATTAAGTATTTATGTATAACAATTAATAATAAAGATAATAAATAAGTGTTGTATAAAAAAAATTATACTAACCTATGGCTACCATAGTATATCATTATCAGAAAGAAAAATATACTAGTTAATAAACTTAATGTTGTGATAATTGCAATAAGTGATGACGATGTCAGGACTACAACCACAGTACCAGCAATGAAACAAAAGTGAAGTGCCACACCCAATATTAGCCAAGGGAATTGAAAAAATGGATCCGTCCATTGATGAGCAAAATTTTTCATTTCCTCTAAAAAGGTAACAAGTGTTTACATTTTTATTTCTAAGAGGCTGTTTTAACGTATTGTTTGTTTTCTCTCTCCAGCCTAAGCGCAACTTGGAAAATGTATGTTTAGAAGAACCAATCCTGTTTTGTTACTTTTAATATTAGATTGATTCACGCAGTATCAAACTTTGAGCTTTGAACATTACCTGTGCCCCTAATTTGGCTTTTTTATGAAACTCTAATTTGTATACAATTTATAAACATTTTTAAACTGTAATAATTTACATGCTCATACCTTACATAAAAATTAAAATACCTTAAAAACATCAATGTAGGGACACAAGTTATGCTCCAAGTATAAAGTTTGATGATAGGTGAATACTCTGATATTTAAAATAGCAACGTAGGGTTCGTTCTGCTAAATGAAAATTTGCTGTTGAGCATCAGTCAAAGAGAAAAAACAAATAGTATGCTAACACCCTCTTAATCATCATAATTAATTTAACTATTTTAATAAGGTATTAAAATTATTTAATTATTCAAATTTCTTACCTCTCAATTTGTTGAGTAGAAATGATTTTCCACTACCCCATTTAGCATATAACCCAACAGTAATTGGCATTGATAAAGTAGGTTCACTAAGCATATCAGCCAGTGCACTGCTGTAAAGATCGTATCCCAGTAAATTTTCATTATCTTCATTTGTATTAAGACGTCGTGAACCAAATATTTGACTAAGGATAGGCTTTTGAGCATTGACATCCATATTATATGGTGTTTCGCCAGCTCGATTAGGTCTGTATAAAAGCTGGCTGTTTTTAGGGTTACGTAACAAAATTTCAACAATTCCTCTAGCCCTAGCTCTCATAGCAATATGTAGTGCAGTATCACCACGTTTGTCTGTAGCTGGTACACGAGCACGCTTTTCAATTAAAAGTTGAACAGCTTCAGCATTTCGATTTCTAACAGCTCGCATCAAAGGTGTATCACCATCCTTAATAATAAAACAAATTTAAATACATATTGAATAGATTTATAAATAATTTGTGTACTGTTTACTTTTGTTGAAATCTCTAAATCAGGATTCGCACCAAGTAATAACTTAATTATTGCTGTATTTCCTTTTTCTATAGCAATATACAGTGCAGTTTTTCGTTCCTATAATTTAAACAACTAGTTAATATTAGTGTTCTATTTTGAGAAACTAATTTAACAATAAAAGCTTAAAATTATCTTATATTCTTTGCATTATGTGTTAGTTCTTAGTTTAGAAGAGAAGTTAGTGAATTAGAGGCAAATCTATAAGTTGTAAATAGTCAAGCTATCAAATTTTGAAATTATTATAAAATGTCCTTGGTGTAACAGTAAAATAAATTGCAACCTTCTATACAAATATATTTTTTGAAAATGTACATCCTATAAATTGGTTAAGAGTCAAGATAGTCATTTCAGTAAGTAATACTCTAAACATTATTTAAATACTAATACCAAGTATTAATATTAGATGTGTTCAAAGCTAAGGCCTCAAAATCCAAGATTATCAAACAATTCCAATTTATCCATTTTAGAATATTTTGAAAACTCCATGATATGCCACCGATGCCAAACTACATTCCAATCTGAATTTCAACATACTCAAAAAAGCATACAATCAAGAAGATTTGAATCAAAACTACAGACTTAACGAATCCGCTTATCAATCAAATCACTTAATAACTCTACTAAACAATATGATGCTAGAACATTGCATTATTCAAAACTATCAATTATTTTTCTATGTATTTTACCACTTGTATAAATTGTAAATAAATAAAATAAAACTTAGTTAGTAGAAATACGATTGTAATATTAAATTTCAATGAATGTAATTTTATTTTATTTATACTTTTCCCATAACATCGACATCTGCATATTTTTTAAGAAGTGCTTCCACAATATTTCGATGTCCTCCTTTAACAGCATGTATAAGGTTAGTATCTGAACTACGATCCTAAAAAAATTGACAATTGATAATTGTTCTTAAAATTAAACTGAAATATTTGTCTCGATATATATTTACTTGTATATTGATATAAGCTCCAGCATTTAAAAGAGAATTAGCAATATCATAATATCCTTCTTTACATGCAATCGTTAAAGCAGTACATCCATCTTGGTCTAAAGCATTGACATTTGGCTTACGTTCAAGGAGTAAATTTACTACTTCGGTGTGATTTCCCATTGAAGATACTAATAATGGAGTCCATGAGTACTAAAAACAAGCAACAATTAAAAAAATACAATATTTTAGTTAGTTAAATTATACTTACCATTCCAGCAGTGTCAACATTAGCTCCAGCCCTTAACAATGAATCAACAAGTTCTACATCACCTTTTCTACATGCCCATACTAATGCAGAAGTCCCATACTACAATATTTAAACATATTAATATTTTTATATAATATTTTTAATGGTCTTATGTATACCTTGTCGCCAACATTAACTTTAGCCCCACGTGCTATTAAACTACAGGCCAACTTTGTATGTCCTCTACCTGCAGCCCAAACTAATGCAGTAATATGAAAATTTCCATGAGCATTTATGTCAGCCCCTCTGTCCAATAGCAAATTGGCCAAGTTAGTGTATCCACAGTAACTAGACCAAATAAGTGATGTCCATCCACCCTAATACACATATATTATAAACAAAACATTTATAGATTATTAACATGGAAATAAAATACATACCATATCCCGGTGTTCAATATCAGCTCCATGATCTAATAATTCAGCGCATATATCAGTATGACCTTCTTTGGCAGCACAAATTAATGCTGTCCAATTATCCTGATCAAATCAATTTTCACATTAAGTTTTGAATATTGTGGCATTATGTGTGCCATATTTTAATATTTAAAAAAAAAAACATAAAATAACACATTTTTTATATTTCTAAGCTATAAAAAATAATTTTTTTAAATTAATTTCAATATGATATAATGCTAAAAATTACTTACATTATCTTCAATGTTGACATCTGATCCGTGGTTAATAAGCTCTCTAAGAAATTGTAATTTCCCTTTAATTGCAGCATAATGTAAAGCTGTAGCTCCATTCTTAAAAAAAATAGAAATATAATCAAAATTAGATAAAGATAATCATTTATCACACTTAATTGGCCTTACATCGTCACGATCGTCTACAAGAACACGACGGTTTTCAAGAAATCCTTGAAGACCTTCTAAATTATTTTCTGAGATGTAATTATGTAAAGCTCTGTAGCATAACGACACCATTGAATCACTAGTGTGCAAATTCTACAAAAATTTAAAAATCAAAAATTAAATTGTGACATTTTATGAAGAAAAAAAATATTTTAAAACCATGATTATTACAGCATGAATAAGCAATCAAACTCAATCAAAAAATTCTAATAAACTAAAAAAATACAAATACAATAAAAAATACATTATTTCAGCTTAGATCTGAGTAGAGTGATAAATGTATTGATTTTACAAAAATGTGTTTTTTTTTTGTGTCAGAGTTGAAAAAACACTCACAATTATTAAATAGGTAAAATAAAAAACAAAAAAACACTAAACAACATTATCATCATCATAAATCTATTTTTTAGTATTAGATAGTTAAAAAATGTTAAAATTAAAAATTATTAATATGATTCTAATAAATGTACCTAAAACTAAATGATGTGTTATAAAATACAGCAGAAATTATAAATAGTTAATATGATGTTTTGGTTTCAAACAAATTATTGATTTTATAATACCTATATTATAAAAAAATACAAACATTGTCAGTTATTTTTATTCAATTTCATATATCAATTGACAATTAAAGGTAATGAGAGATAACAGTACATATGTATTAATAGGACATAATGGACAAAGCTCTTAAAATAAAAATGTAACCACGACAAGTCATTTTTATTTGTAAAAAGCTTGGAAATTATTTCACTAAAAACTTAATAAAATTGATTGCTAATCAAAGAAGAATTATGATCCTATTTTAGACACAACTACACAAGTACACAATAGTTTCCAGGTTAAAATAAATTCATATTTTAAAATACATGAGTGAGTTTAAAAGTTTTACAATCAAGTTATCATATTTTTAGATTTAATTTTTTTCAAATAATATTTCCATACTTCAAAAATAAAAGTATAATTGCAGTAAAATGGTACCAAATATCTTAATGTCAAAAATTGCACTAGAAAAAATCCATCAATAAATTTAAAAACGCATAAAAAACTAGCTGATTACTCACCAGAAAAAAAATATACGAATGAAATAACTTAAAAGCCCAAATTTTATATTTGTTTTTTTATTGTTGTTTGTTGATGTCTATGATAATATATCGCCATCTTACAAATTTAGGAATATGTAGAAACAAATATCCCTTCTAACTTAAATAGTGATTTACATTAATTTATTAAGGGATTAAGGTTTTTTTATTTTACCATAAGCAAGACAAAGATCTTTGGTGTACTACAAGTATTAATAGAATTAAAAATACATAATGAATTTGTCAAAATAAATTTACATTTTACAAAATATTATTAAATAAAAAATTCAAATTTGTAGTAAATAATGTTATCATTATTATTTATTTAATACTTTTTTTCCTAAAATAAACTAACATTAAATTTCAACAAATATAACTTGTTCAATGTTGACGTTTCTTGAACATTCATAAATTGATTGTTGTATCAACTATCAAGACTATAAGATTGGTCTGTAGATATTCGTTAAATCAATTTTTGCAGTATGTCTAATAAATAGATTTATACAACACCAAGATAACTATCTTGACTTATGTAATAATGCCTGTAGCTAGACTATCTATGTTTAATAGACTATGAGTAAATTAAATATTTCCAGTTTGGAAAATGGCAGTAAACTTCAATGATAGGAACAAGGCAGCTATTCAGTTGTCGTAAATATACCAAAGGTATAATTATATTATTATATACTTACCCATTAATCCTATTCTCTTTATTATTATATGGATCTAGTCATTAAGTAAGCAATTAGTTAAGTAAATAAGTAAGTAAATACTTAGCAGGTACATACCTTGTTTATATTACTGTATTAGAATTTAGATATACTATTTAAATCACAAGTATTAATAATTAATTTATATAAATGTAACAAATACATATTTCATAATATTAGTAATAAGTTAAAACAAATTGAGACAAAGTAAGTTCTCCTACCAAAATCGATTATCTAAGATAAACCTAACCTAACCTAGACAAAAAAATAATTTTACCCTCTAAAAAAAAAAATTATCAGATAGACAAAATAAAAATTTATAAAATTAGAAAAATATTTTTGGATTTCATCAAAATCACTTCGCTCCACAAAATTAAGATCCTGTGTCAGTATATGCCAATATGAGTTTAATAAATTTACATTTAAATGCTATATTTATAAAATAGACCGAAAATATGTTTTTAACGATTGAAAACTTAGTAAATCCATAGCATTTTTTTAATAAAATAAAATAGATAAAAGATTACATTATTGAATATAATATATAAATAAGTAATTTTAATGCTGAGTGCGGTGTTGAAACATGAATAATAAATGTCTTAGATTAACTACAAATAGAATACAAAGTGAAGCTTGGCTAGTTTAAAAAACTCATTATTAGGTGTTAAATAACAGAAAATCGGTGTTTTAGTGAGGCTGGTGTTAGAACAATATTTCTACTGACCGCCGATGAAATTTTTCTGAAATTTGCAAAGCTGAATCTTTTGTTTGTATTATCAGTAGGTGGTAATGGACTATCATCATATAATGGACCAGTGATAGAAAATGATGGTAAACGATTTGACAACCCAGTAAGAAAACCTTGACTACGTGATCTTTGAGGCCGTCTCAAATCACTAAACTCATTGGTTGTTGGAAGTTGTAATCGTAAAAATGAGAAACCTCGAGTGTAACGAATGTTGACAGGTACACTTTGACGGTCTTCATTGTCTGACATACTTATATAATTTGATCTGTATGAAAATGTTGTTACTTAATGTATAAAAATTATCATGCAAATTCATTACAATATTGCAATTATTACCTAATATTAAGACTTATGTATCAGATATATGTATATTTTTTAAGCTAATGAATAATAGAAAAATTTAAATGTCTGAGAAGATACATAGAAGTAAAACTTAACATTATATTGCTATTTTATTTGTTCTAAGTAAAAGGAATAAGAAAATTGTTTATATATTATGTCACCAATTTCTTTATTCTATGTATTAAATCTGATACAAATCACAACTTAAATATAACTTTATGTTTCTTATAATATGATTCTAAATCTGATATTTAAATACTAAACACTGTATTCAAACACTGCTTGTGTTCGAGTAATTCACACATCCATAAACCTATCAAACATATCAATTTAAATATTAAATTCTCTACTTTTAATAAATAAAAAAAATGTTGCTTCAGTGGAAAATAACAAATTATTCTTCTTAGTCATTGGTAATGTTTTTGTTATTGGCAATGTTCCATATAGTTGGGTTTATATTTTTGTAAAATGTAATATTATAAATATTAAAAAAACGAAGTACTTACTAATTTAAAAAATGTTAAACTATAAAATCATGGTCCATACTCCATAGACAATTAATTTTGTATTAACAGCTTAAAATAGTAAATAATGAACAAATTTTCACTAATTACAGCAACAATGTAAGCAAAGTCAATTATTTATGTTTAGTTAAGTTTTAAAATGGTTTGAGATTATTATACGCATAAGACATATATATATATATATATTTACTATATAAAATCCAAGTACTTATTATTAATTGTTTAAATAGCAAAATTACATAATCTCAAAACCAATTTACATTATTTATCAAATTAATGTATTTTATCAGTTTATCCACTTAACTATTTTATTTGCAATAAAATAATCAACAAAACCTAGTTTAAATTATACAAATATACATGTATACAGTATACTATACACATTTTTTCTCATTCAATTATATTTTACCCTAATAATTTTCTTTTTCTATTCTGTTTTTAAGTACAGATTTTGATTTCAAATTTTACAGTTTTTAATATCAGTACTTTATATAAAGCTATTACCTGGGTATCCCCATTGATTCTTTTCAAAAAATGAAAATAACTTAAAATGCTTCCATAGCTTCTGCTCACATTATAGCTCAGTGACAATGGTAATAGTTCTACAGAACTATGATTTGATTTAAATGACCACTGAAGTCTAGGCATAATTAACTCAAAAGCATGACAAAAATACTTTTAGATATTTAAATAAAAAGAAAATATATTTTTTGTCCCTAATATAGTTTATAGGATTAAAAATATTGTCCTTAGATTAGATAATCAAATAAATTAGGAACTTTTCACTAGAAAATAATATTATGAAATTGTATTATATGTTTATTATTTCAGGTGTATGAAACACTTATTGGCTGAAAACTAATCGATTGATCATTGGAGTACCCCCACTGAATGATGTTTTACAACATATTTCAATCAAAATTTCTTTATCAATATCCCTGAAGAGGTGTGCCTATCAAACTGTACATACATTATACATATTTGACTATTTAATCTAGGTATTATTATTAAAGTAAATAATATATGATGACATCATTAAAAAGATATGCGCTATTGTAAAATCTATTAACCAAACAAAATGTACTTAATACTTATTATTAACCATAGGTGAAGTTTATAATCCATTAAAATTAACATTTAACTATCAAAACTTTATAAAATACGCACTTAATAATTTATAACTTAATAATCTGCATATGTTTTATTAAGATAATTATGGCAAATTCTGTACCATTTAACATGTGCACATAACATTTTAAAATTATTATTTATAATAAACTGATAAATTCTTTAAAACACATTAGTGTAATCACACTGTTATGATTAAGGTATAGTTGGAAATTAGGTTTAGGTATGTTCATTTAAGATTTAATACCTACCCAATCTTATTTTATTGATAGCTAATAATAAGTGTATGGTAATTAAGACTATCTCTTTCTATATCTCTTTTCTTAGTATAGAACCAATACAAAATAAGCATTTGAATTTGTATTTATTTAATTTTTCTAAAACAATATCTTTAGAAAATATTATCAAGTTCTTATTTTTACTAAAATCACATATTATAATATCATACTTACATTTATGTTAGAACTATTAGTACGCAAACATTTATTGTGGCAAATCATTATGAAATGCAGGTATAATAATTTAATACTAAATGTAATTAAATATTTAAAAATGTAGTAAAAAAAAATATGCTTAACATAGTTTTTAAGTTTCCTTTAATATGAAATATAGGTCAAGTGCAAATGATACTTCAATGTATGTATATAGAATTTAGGCAGAATAAGTAAATTTTATAAACACCAAATAAATCAAATAAATGTAAAAAATTCATTAACAACAACTAATTTTAAATAGAAATTATTAAATTAGAATTGAGCCAAAAAGACATAAACATAAAAAGTAAAAATTATAATAATTAATCTAAAAATTATCATTTATCATTATCAAAATTAAAATCCAGTTAACTTAATTTTGTTTTCTATTCATAAACTTCCCATGTAACTAATACAATTTAAACTTATAAAATAAATGTTTATAATTATTTTTAAAACTTATGTGAGTGTTATAAAATGTTAGATTTTTAACAGAGCATGGAAGTTTATAGTTTATAATGTATTTTTATAATTGAATTTGTTTGTTTTTTTGTGTAATCAACAAATAAATAGTACCAAATATTTACTTAATTAATACATAATATTGTGGTTCTTAAATACCAAAAATTCAATTTTTGATTTCAGTAATTATCAAGTCAGTAGAAATGTAAAACCCCCATTGTTATTAATAATCAAATTTTTCAACTGGTTTGTCTCCAAAAGTAAAAATGTAGTATTATTACTATGGGAGGGGGCTAACATATAATGCATACTAGAGTCGCTCACAATTATTAGCTAAAAGAAAACTTACAGCTTTTAACAAACTAAACAATTCAACCAAAGTAAAAAAACAATTAGGTACCTACTCTTCAATATTTTAAAATTATTGTAAACAATAACCATGAAGTCATTAAATTAATTGAATTAGAACTAATTTAATATCTGCTTAAATAACGGTCAAAAATAAAAATAGTACATTTGCGGGACAATACGACATGGATGACTAGTGACAAAAACCGATGAAAGTTGATATTAAATTTGTAATCATTTGAAGCTATTGAAAATATATTTTACAATTGTAACAATTATTACTTGAAACTTTTTTTTTTTGGGGGGGGGGGGCTTAGTCTTCCCAAACCCCTTTCCCCAATGTATCTTTAAAAAATCTACTGATATACGCCAAACTATGTAATTGGTAATAAGAGTAACATAGTCCGAAACCACATTTGATATTAGTGATTTGGGACCCAATTAATCTTAAAAATCCCAGTGGTAGGTTAGGTAATTGTTTTTTGATATAAGTAATTCATAAAATAAACATAAACTATACTTTTAAGTTAAGTAAAAAAATATAAGTAAAACACATGAAATAAAAATAGATTAAGTAGGTATTTTATACAATGTAAACAGATTTTGTGATTTAAAAATGGTTGTTAATTCATAAATTAAAAAAGTAAGAAATTTAATCTTGATACCTAATTAGTATAATCACCTAGGCACCTCTTTATCTTTATGATGTAGATTTCAGACAATCAATTATAATTTTAATGGACCTTGCAAGGAAAATAATTAATGACTATATTATATATAATATTGCAAACAATGTACCCACCTATATATTTTTTTCAGATAAACTGATAATATTTTTAGGAATATTGAATTAATTTTAGTTATTTACTAGTAAGTGCTTGGATTGCATATTTACACGTTTCTATAGATAATACCGTTAAAGTACCTTATTATGAATACAGTATTGGTAAAATTATTAATTAAAGACAAATTAAAATACATGAATGCCACATATTAAATAATTGTTCATTTTATAAATTACAATTAATATTTTTTTACAATCTATTTTAAGATATTTACAATTTACAAATATAATATTTAATATTTAAATACACATCTAATAAGGTGCATGTTTAAAATAAGTAGGTACTTACTTTATTTGTTTAATTCAAGAAACATGATCCCCTAAAAAGTGTTTTGAAATGATTAATATCCTAAATATTTGAAACTGTCGAATAAAAATAGTGCATCTTACTTAGGACATAAATTGCATTGAGTGTTTCTTTTATAATGATTGGTGCCAATCAAAAATGTATTGAATATAGCGTAAGTAACATAATAAATAGTATTATACTAATAGAAAAATAATGATAATTCTGTCAAGTATTTTCCTGGAAACAGTTGTGAGATACTGAAGTAGTAACTAGTATTATAAGGAAAACAGCTGTTCAGTTATCACACAATTGCAACTTAGATACGAGTTAAAAAATGTTGATAATTTTTTTCAAACTTAACACTTAAGTAATACCAACAACAACAAATAGTAATTTGTACTTAGTTTTATTAATTGTAAATTGTAATTCGTATTACTGTATCTTAGCTCCTATTTTTATTTTACTCGATTATATTTGGTGTTGTATATTTGTATAGGCTTAATTATAAGATAATGGATCAATGCCAGATTGATGGAATTGAGGAACTCAAGATTACTAATGATGTTCATCTTGAGACTACTAATAATAATATGAAGTAAGTAGCTGAGTAAAATCTTAGTATCTATCCACATGCTTGCTTACACTAGGTACTTGATTTGTTTTTCAGATCAATCAAACACATAACTATCAAAAAGGTACATTGAAAATAATTTTAATTGTGTAAAATATAACCTACTGTTACAGTATTTATTAATTGTATACACTTTGTAGAACACTTCAGATTCAGATCATCGTACTCCTAAACGTAAAAGTGATATTTCTAACTCAAATATTTTGAAAAAAAAAAAAAAATATGAGACCGCTTTGGCTGCAATTTTTCCTGAAAATGACCAATCATACTCGCAATATGCTCAAGGTGCCATTAATATTTATTAATTATGTTACTTTTTATAAATGTTATCATATAGTATTAAAGACAGATAATCTACTAACTAAATCTTTATTTTTTAAAAATAAATAAAGGATTATCTATATAGTATACGTTTTTTCATTGTAATTTTTTCTTCAGATGATTATTAGTTATGATACTAAATGACATAAATGTTTTTTTATAGATTATGCTGAAGGATATATGAAAAAGATGCGAGAAAGATTAGATATAGATTCTTTTGATCTAGCCATAAAACTTTTAGCATCTTTTGGAGACGCTGATGATAGCAATATTAATCTTTTATATGAACAAATAACCGAAGTATTAACTGATAAAAACGATGATTTAATCTATGAATTTTTAGGATTTTTACTTCCAGGACAAGCTCTATCAATTGGGAAATTCACAGATTATCTAGAATTAACTAGAATAAAAGAATTTATTAGAAAATTACAAGTATGTGATTTATCCATTTTGAGTAATCCTTTTATTCATTTTTGATTTTTTTAGGTTTGCATGAAAAAACAACCAACTCAAGTTCGTAAAATATTAGACAACTTGTTTCATTTATCAAAAAGTGAAAATATTACTCCATTAGAAGTACATACAGCCATGCTTCCTTTATTAAAGAGTAATCCGATTTTAGTTGATTGTTTTTTTCAATTAATCCCAACAGAACATCCTCCTGAAAGGTAGCAATATCAGTGTTGCATTATCATTTCTTTACGTTGCTAATTGGTTAATTACAGTTTTTTTTCTGACGACAATTGGGAAGACTTGGATATTGATCAAAGTATTAATGCTGGAATAGATTATGAAGAAATAATTCCATCCGATTCAGAAGATCATACACAATTAAATATATGCCATTGCATGTGCCATAAACCTGGAGATATTACACATTGTAGATCCTGTGGTCTAAAGGTATCAATACTTTTTTTTTAACATTTAACTGAAATATATATTTTTATAAGTCTTATTAAAATTCTCCTTATTGCATGTTATAGTTCATTTGTTACTATGGTTTTCAGTACCATTGGTGACTTTATGAAAATATGTTTAAACAATATCTATTAAACATAATTCAAGAGGCATAGTATTTAATATTATAATTGATTATAATCATTATTGGTCCTTAATACTTAAAGTATTTAAAACCAATGTTATTATGTAGAGATAATAATATAGCATTAAAGAATTTTTTTTAAACATCTTAGAAGATATTATATTTCTATCATCATACTAAGTGATTATTTTATCACGAACCATTCATTATTCCAAAAATACATTAAATGTTTTCGATAATATTTTTTTTTACATGGTTTCAAATCAATAATTTTTTTTGTTGAGCTTTTACTCTTTTCGATAAAAATATACAGTTTTAGTTTAATTTTTAAAAGCTGAATATTTTTCTGAGTATGTCGACGCATACAAATCAAATTTTGGAATAGTAGTTTATGAGATAACTTATAAGTTATAAATATTTAGAGTTTAGATGAGCGGAATAGTGGACCCACATTTTGCAGGATAATTAAGTACCACTCTACTCTGTTCATCTAAACTTTAAATACTTATAAGTCATAAACTATTATTCCTACATTTTTTTTTGATTCAACTTGAAACCATGAAACTTTTAACATAATAAGATATTTATTTATTGTAATGTAGAATTTTATACAAAGCTAAATTCTTTTTTTTTTTAAGTTTTTTAAAGGTCGTGTCTACTTTGATACACTAGAAGGATTGAAATTAGCAAAAATAAATTTTGAAGGAGCTGACTCATCTATTGTGCAGTCTAAAATTGATAAAACAGAAGAAAATATTACAGTAAAGCAAAAAAATAGGAAGAGTTTGATTAAAAATAGTTCTCCTGGCTCAGCAGAAGATATTAAAGGCAGCACAGGAACAGGTTAGTTGTCATAATGCATTTTTCACTTATAATTTAATTTTTAAATTTTTTATTTATAACTTTTATAGAATCTGAAGAAGATCTAATTGATGTGAAACCAAAAAAACGTCAGAAATCAAAAGTAGTACAGTCTTTAAAGCTAAAGTATAAAAAAGATGAAAACCCTAAATGTTGTAAAGACGAGCAAGAACCATGTGTTGAAACAGGAAAATCTATTGTTCATGTTACCAACGAAGAATTAAAAAGTAGTGAAATGGTGTTTTTTTGTATTCCTAAAGCAGAAGCTAGTGTGAAAATCTTACCAAAAAAGAAATTAAAAGTTGACAATAAAGAAAGTACAATCCTAAAGGATTATGAAATTATAAATCAAATCAAGTCTGAAACCTTAGATAATATAAATTCAGATGTATTTGAAAAAAATATGGAAATTAAAACCGAAGTCTTTTCAGATAAAAATAATGAAATTGATGCACCTAAAGAAATCACAAAAGAATTACATTTTTTACCATCACCAGGTACTATTGATAATGTACCCGAAGTAGACATTCAATTTGAGCAATGCCAGCTACCAAACAAAATTAAAGTAGAATTTACCAACAATATTTCTAATAGTGATTTTTCTGAAGATTACCAATCAGATAACATACAACAGAAAAGCTTAGAAGAATCAAATAACCTTAAAGTTAAAAAAGAGTTTGGTGAAGACTTGAACATCAGTAGTCTCAACAATAAGAAACAATGTGATGATCAAAATACTTCAACTAAGTTAACAGACTGTAATTTGATCACTACAACAACATCTGATATCAATAAAACATTACTACATGAAAATATCACAATAAAAAGTGAAAATATTGATAATTTATCTGAATGTTATGTACACGTAAGAGACAAACGAGACAATAATGAAACTGAAAAACAATTGATAAACAAATGGACAATAGATGAAGATAAAATTATTCTACAAACTTGTAAAAGAGTTGAAGACATTGAAGTTTTATTAGAGACAATTAATAGGCGAATACCACAGAGATCAGTATCTGAGGTATGACTATTTTTATCAAGATTTTTATACATATTAAATGTCATAATATACTAATAATGTATCCTTTAATTTACAGATACAAGAAAGGTTCACAACTTTGATGACTTTACTTGAACAGATGATTGAAGTAAAACAAAATTAGCATAGCTGATATTTATTATAACACATTTATTTGTTATTTGTTAAAATAAAAACATACTAAAACATTTCCTTAATATAATTTTATTTCAGTCTTCATATCCTGGCGGTCTTGGTATTCTTTTATTCTCATAATCGTCAAGATTAACTTTTTCCATAAGCTTTTTATACTCGGTTTCTATGGTAACGCTGCCTCGAGGTTTCATTTCAATACCTTGTTTCTTAAGTTCTTCTGGGCTGATGAACTTAACCTTTCGATGATCATATCGAATCTGTGAAAATTCTCTTAGACCAAATGATCCTCCAACAACCAACAATATAAATGGCAATCCAAGTCTAATAAATTTGTTTTTTATAAAACTGTCCAATGATTTTGATAAATTATCCATTGTTACGCGTTAATTGAACACATGTTAGGGTATCCTTAAATGTAATAAAATAAATCTTATATTAAGTACAGACTACTAGATAAACAAAAATATCAAGAGCGCGGTTATGTTGAAGCGTGTAAAATGTAGACACGAAGACGAAATTCTACGACTTGTGTCAATACTATAATGCAATGTTATTGTCTATAAAAAATTTTAATCGGTAAAATAGTATTATCTAAAGTTGATGATCTATGGTTTCAATGATACAAAGTTAAAGACTAAACAGCTGCTGTAAAAAGTATCGCTGATAATGTCCACTGAGTTAGATAAGAATATACTGTATTTATTGTTAATTGTTATTTATGCCTTGACTGCATTGGCCGTCGTCTGGTATACTCTGCATAGGTAAAATAACATTTCTTGTCATACAGGTCGAGTGGTAATAACGAAAAACGCGACAGCCCGGTTTTTACATCGAAGTCCGCAATCCAGTTGTATATTCTCACCACGATTTAAGATAGTAACCTATCTCAGAGTGAGCTGCACAGAATAGATTAATTAATTTATTGCACTCTTTGAGTAACCCATAGAGTAATATGGAGTAACCGTTACTCTTTGGTGATAACAACGAACGTGAGATACCATAGCGGGCGGGCGAATTGATCAATCCACTAGCAAGATACCTGGTACAGTCCGTGGTTCGTGATAACGTTATTCATTATTCAATATACGAGAATCGTAATACCATGTTCTGAAATCATGAATGAGTTACCTATCTATCATCACTTTTAACTCAATGACATCATGCATTCATGCATTGTAATTTTTAATAAATAATATTTACTAGATATTAGGCAATAACAGACATTTAATACCGACTTTTTTTGATTGTAATTTAAATTTTTAAATTTATTTAAATCAAACCGATGTTGTACCTATTACTATAAAAATAGTAAATTTCTGAATGTTTTAACTTTTTTAGTTACATTCAAAATATTCTCGATAATCAAAATCAACTATTAAAACTCTTGGTAAGTACAAAATTATTTTTAACTTTAATTATCTAATACCCACTACTGTTATTGATATTTATGACATTAATTTATATTTTTATTTCAGACAACAATGGGAGAGCTTCCTGGAGAGTTCTCTAAGTCATTCAGAACACAATACGTTCATCCAACTATAAATGATATTGACTATGTAAAACATTTACCGTTCAACCTTGATAAAGGTCCATACAAATCTGAAGACCATTATTTAGACACACAATTTCATCTCTTACGTGAAGATTTTATTCATCCTTTAAGAAAAGCTGTACAGTATTATCGTAAAAATAAAACCACGGTCGGTACTAATCTGGTATGCAGTAATGTATTGTTTGATGGTTCGAGAGAGTTTTTTGGAAACAAATTAGGTTTTATATTTAAATTTGATCCTAATGCATACAACATCAATTTGTTTATAAATGGGTTCTTATTGCTATTTTCTAAAGATGATTTCAACACTTTCTTTGCTGGACTTGTGCTGAAAGATGACATAGAATACTTAAAAAAAGGGATAATATTAATAGAAATGCTTGATAATATTGACATAAGACCAAGCACAATTTTATCAATGGCACAGTGTGAACAATTTTATGTACCTTACAATTGGACACTTAAAGCTCTTCAACAGATGAACTCACTTCCATTGAAAGAGTATATAGTTTTTGCTACAAACAAACATTGTGCGCCTGACTACTTAAATGACATTAATTCTCAAAAGTATGATATTGATGATTACAAATTTAATATTTTGAATGATGAAGAATGGCCTACAGAAATTTATCTGCAACAAGAGAGCAGTCAGTATGAAGCATTTAAAGCAGCATTGACCCATAAATATGTTTTAATTCAAGGTGTTCCAGGTTCAGGCAAAACATTTATTGGGCAACGAGTTGTAAAAGCAATGATTGAGAATTTATATATAACAGGACGGCTAAATAAACCTATTGCTGTTATTTGTAATAATAATCACACATTAGACCATTTTTTAGAAGGTATCTTAAAAATAACTGACAAGCTGGTCAGAATTGGAAGTCAATCAAAATGTGAAGCTTTAAAGAAATATAGTTTAAAGAAGATAGTAAAACTTAATAAATTAAAAATAAATAATGTCTTAGAACAAAATGTAAAAGTTAAAGAGCAAGCCATTTTAGAGTGCTATGAGAAATGTGATAAATTGTATTCAGGTATTCTGGATTGGAGTATTTTGAAGACTGTGGTACCAAAAGTGGCATTCGACACATTTATAGATTCTTGGGACTTTCTTAACTGGTTATTTCATCCATATCCTGTGGATAAGATGTTTAAGAAATATAAAGTAGATCATGTACAATGCCCTCAACATTGTCTCATTTTAGATGATATAAAACAACGTTTGTCAGAACTGACGGAACAAGTTACTGAAGGCAGTGAATATCACTCATTAAAAATTAAACAACAGTTGACCGTAGTGAAGAAATTTTATGAATACTTTGAGTACATGTTATCTTTTGATAACTCAGAAGAAAGTCCAATCGTTATTGATGATATCCATTTAATTCCAGCTGATCAAAGATGGGTGTTATACTACAAATGGGTACATACAATTGTTAATGATTATAAGAATATTTTAATTCCAACATGGTATGAGTATAATGACTTATGTAAAAAACTCGATGAGGATAGATTGGCACAAACTATGAATTTACTAGATGATATTTATGTAATTGGACTTACTACTACTGGAGCAGTAAAAAACAAAGATTTATTAGAACGTTTACAACCTCCAATTGGTAAGTACTTTTCTAAGAATTCAAATATATTAAGTTTAATTAAAAATAATTATGACCATAGTTTTATTTAAATTGAAATAGTATCAAATATTATAGTTCTATTAGTATAATTAAATTTATAATATTTATTATCTCTACTATTCTGTAGTTTACTACTGTTTTCCAATTAAAACACAAAAGGCTATTTTAAAATCTATTTAATCGTCATAAATCTGTTTGTTCAAAGAAATAGATACATTTTTTTAAATTCTATAACTACCTCATTTTATTTAAAATCTAAAATACAAATTGATAAATAAATACATTTTATTTAAGTTATGTTCAATTTTTTTGTTTAGTTATTGTGGAAGAAGGAACAGAAACATTAGAACCATTCATAGTTGCATCATTGACCGAGCATTGTCAACATTTGATTCTAATTGGTAAATTTTTATAAAATGTTTTTTTTTTCAAATTAAGAATATACTTATTAGTTTATTGACTCTGGGATAGGAAGCAATTTAAATATTTACAAAAACATGAATTCAGAAGTATAAATGTGGTTAGTTCTAAACTATATTTTCAAACAAGTTTTGGGATAAAATTAACTATCGCCAGGTCCACCATTCAACTTTTGGTTTTAAATCCATCATTAATCTGTATGTTGGCGTTTATTCTAATATATTAAGGCTATTTTTCAAGCAAGATAAGAGCATTTTTAATTTGTGATATTTCATATACCCATATCTTGCTTGAAAATTAAAATATCGAAAAATCTCTGATGTCTAAGCACATATAATGTTCTTACCTGAATGTTTGATAATAGGTAAGTTCATTCTAATATCAAAACTAACAGTACACCATTGACATTAGTGAATGAAAATTTGCTATGTCCTATGTTTGTGAGACGGATACAACAAATGCATTGGTAGCATCCTCTTAAGAATATTGTTATTCCTTGTCAACTAAAACAATTCCACAAGCTAACCATGATTGTGCTTTTAGCACAGCACATCCCATTTTATTATTATGCTACTAAATATGTAGTTTTTTCTTTTACTAATTTATAACTTTTGATCATTTTTTCTTTATATAAGAATTAATTTAACTTAAGTTTTGTTTAAAATTCACTATTCAGCCAACCAAACAAATAGGTAGTATAACTTTATTTTATTATATATATTTTATTTTAATTATTTAGGAGATCATAAAGTAGAACGTCCAAAGACATCATCATACACTTTAGCAAAAACTTATAATTTCAATCAAACACTTATGGAACGAACAATAAATAATGGGTTACCTTTAAATCGACTCATTAAACAATTCAGAATGCGACCAGAAATAATGTCATTAGTCCTACCATACATTACTGATCAATTGGAAAGTAGTGAACATACATGTAATTTACCAAATGTTATTGGAATAACACAAAATGTGTACTTCATTGATCATAATATTACAGAGGTATTAATTATTAATTAATAATTTTCTATTGGTATTTTATTATATTTAACAAAAAAAATTCAATTATCTAGGATAAAAGTCACATAAATATGCATGAAGTTAAATTTGCAATTGGACTTGCTCGTTATCTTTGCTTACAAAATTATAAACCTGAAGATATAATGATTTTAACAACTCATAAAGATCAAGTTTGTGAACTTGTAAAGGTAAATTAGTTTAGAAAACTCATTATTTTTATTTAAAACTATTTTTAATTTATATTGGAATGTTAATAATTAGCTTAAAGAAGAATCTTTACTTATTAAAAACATAAATATATCATCTGTGGATAATTGCTCATTAACTGAATGTGAAATTGTAATACTATCCACTATACATAGTACTAAAGGAGATACAGGATTTTGGAAACATGAAAATCGGATATGTGTGGCTTTAACAAGAGCAAAATCTGGATTATACATCATTGGAAACATAAGCAATCTTATAAGCCAATGTGAACTGTGGAATAGTGTAAAAAATTCTCTTCAAAGTCTATGCTCCCTTGGTATAAAATTAATATTTATTTTTTTAATCATTTGTTTATTTAAAGTTGTATCCTTTTTAGGAAGTGAATTAACTCTAGAGTGTTCAATACATAAAGGAATGTTATCAAAAGTTTCCAAATCTGAAGATTTTGTAAATCGAAAATGTCCTCGTCCTTGTCTCCAGCAATTAAAATGCAATCATTATTGTCAAAGTATTTGTCATACACGTGATCGTGAACATATGTTCATGTTTAAATGTAGAAATATAAACTGCAGGTGTGTTTTATAGATAACTATAATTATATTAACATATTAATTGGATGATATTAGTATGAATTTATTGAGTATACTATAATTTTCATTCCAGTAATTCTTCAAAGGGGTTCAATGAAAGTATTCTTTAATTAAAAATAGTAAAGCTCAAGTTTGGTATTCTCAAAATATACCTATTATATAATAATATATAGATTGTGTTTGGTTTTTTAAAGATAAAGTCAAAATTAAAACAACTACTAT